GTGTTACTTCTTAAATCTGGACAGGGCTTGTTTGTTTGTTTTTAAAATAAAAAAGTTCTATTTTTGGCAAATATAAAAGCCTTTTCACACCAAAAGTGAAATGAATAAGCCTCAGGCTGAAGGGAAAGTAAATTTACCTCTGTACAGTAGAATGCACAAGAAGAAATTTCAACACACTTCAATAAAAAAAGACACACAAATGTTTGTCTAGAGTAATTTTTGCTTATTAGTGTGGTTGAACTGGATCATCGAAGGTCAGAAGCAAAGACATTAGTTAATAGAATGGGATTTGAAAAAGTAACTCAGATATTCTCTTGTAAATTAAAAAGTAATGCGTTACTTTACTAGTTACTTGAATAAAGTAATCTGATTACGTAACTCACGTTACTTGTAATGCGTTACCCCCAACACTAACAATCACTATGTCATTTTAACTAAAGCACTAGAGCAGACCATATTACAGCTGCTCCAGTTTCCTGTAGCTCACAAGATAATATACTACCACACACATAGCCACATGCAGACAACTGCTTTTTCAAAGTAACCAAACTGAGAGTCCAAATCATTTGGACTGAAATAGAGAGAGAGTACCAGAGGTTTATATTCAGTAAATGGTACTAAATGCTGTATATGAAAGATATATTAAATCAGTAGCCCTTTTATCTCAAAAGTTACTGTTCAAAAGTTTTGGGTTAGTAAGTTTTTTTTTTTCTTCACACTTTTGAAATTTAATGCATCCTTGCTAAAAAAGTATTACTGACCTGAGAGAAAAAAAAAAAATCGTTCAGACTCAAAAAATTTTGAACAGTAATGAATGTGCATTTATAGTGGAGGAGGATGGCAGAAGAGAATGGGTTCCCCATGCTGAGTTTGGTTCCTCTGAAGGTTTTTTCCCCTTCACTGGCTAAAATCTTCGGTAGTTTCCTTGCCACGTTTTCACTGAGGTATTTAAGACATTAAGGTGGAATTTTCTGTAAATCTGCTTTGAAACCTATGACGTAACACCACTATACACATAAGTGGATCTGATATCTCTGTGGACTTACTGCATGTAACAGTGATCTGTATAACACATCCTTCTTTCCGTCTGAAGTCTCATCCAGTTTACGACGAATGAAAAATCCTCCGAGTTTCCGTATTAGTGTGCTGAGGGAGTACAATGCATACATACATATATCATATTGACATATCAGTTTGACTGTCTATTGTTGAAATACTATGTATCTTAAAAAACACATGCACATGCACATGCACACACACAACAACAAGGTCATCATAACATTGAACCTTAAGATAGGGATGTTGAGGTTGTTGCCAGCTGCGATGTGAGGGGCTTTGATGTTGTGACAAAACAGGATGAAGGTGATGAGCAGGTAGTCTATGTGGGACTTGTGAACAGGAAGGAAGACCAGGGGAACATTGTACTAGAAGGCACACAGTAAAATGTTTGTTATACTTTAAGATATCTATATAAATCTACACATATGTGACCCTGGACCACAAAACCAGTCATAAGTAGCACGGGTATATTTGTAGCAATAGCCAAAAATACATTGTATGGGTCAAAATTATCGATTTTTATTTTATGCCAAAAATCATTAGGATATTAAGTAAAGACCATGTTCCATGAAGATATTTTGTAAATTTCCTACTGTAAATATATTAAAACGTAATTTTTGATTAGTAATATGTATTGCTAAGAACTTCATTTGGACAACTTTAAAGGCGATTTTCTCAATATTTTGATTTTTTTGCACCCTCAGATTCCAGATTTTCAAATAGTTGTATCTCGACGAAATAGTGTCCTATCCTAACCATACATCAATGGAAAGCTTATTTATTCAGCTTTCAGATGATGTATAAATGTCAATTTCGAAAAATTGACCCTTATGACTGGTTTTGTGGTCCTGGGTCACATATCCAGTCCACCCATTTATTACATTAAATATACATAAAAAGGTGGTGGACAGATATTGTTTGTTAATGAACTGTTGATCTGTATATCTTCTTGTAATAAGTGAGTTTGTCAACTGATGGATTGATCTGTGGCTGTTTTGGGAGTAGTTACAGTATGTGTGGTAGTGCAGATAAGAAGAAATGCCCATGCTGGGCAGGAAAAGGCCATGTAAATGTCTGACCTCAGATGCTGCTTTCTTTACCATCTCCAGCTGACCTTTATGGATCTGAATACTCCAGAAGAATCCATTAAACAATTTCAACAACACCCATCCTGTTATTCTAAAAGAGACATACAAAAAAGAGAGAAGATCTAGGATTTATTTCTAATCAATAAATTACAAACCCAAAATGATGTTTTCCCTTAAAAATATAAAAATCGATACTATTTGAAGTAATTTTAAAGAATTTTAATTTAGTATTTTAAATGAATGCTTTGATTCGGCAAAGATACATTAAAGTGATCAAAAGTGACAGTAAAATTTTTTACATTGTTACAAAAGATTTCTATTTTCAAATAAATGCTGTTCTTTTGAACTTTTAACAAATTTTGATACAAATTTTCCACAAAAATATTAAGCAGCACAGCTGTTCAACATAGCACCAATCAGCATATTAAAATGATTTCTGAACGACCACGTGACACTGACAACTGGAGTAATGGCTGCCGACATTTTTTTTGAAAATTCAGCTTTGCCATGACATAAATAAATTACATTTTAAAATAAAATATAAAACGATTATTTTAAGTTGTAATAATATTTCACAATATTACTGTTTTACTTCATTTTTGATAAAAATAAATGCAGCCTTGGTGGCCATATGTGACTTCTTTTAAAAACATTAAAAAGAACTTTACTACCCCCAAAATTTTAAACAATATTATATTAAAATAATAATAGAATTGATAGTTATTCCATAAATAAAACCTTTTTAAAAAAGTAAATTTGCATTTAGATTGATTGGTTGTAGTTTTCCTTTTAAAAAAAATTTTAGCTTTGCTCATGGAGCATGATGTGAAAACTGTACCTGATGAAGGCAGGTGAGATGTTGGCAACCATTTCCTGCAGGAATCCTCTGGCCTTCCGTCTAACTTTACTGACAGCTTTGGAATCCACTCCAGACTCTGCATCTGTGCTAGCACCTTCGGATGCTACCTCCACGATAGCACTTTCCAGCCTACAGCAATAACACTCACAGTCAATCTGGATGCTATGATGCATTCCTGCTGCTTAGAAACAGAGCTTTACATTGCACTTGTTCCTTGCTTTTATAAACACTTGGTACCTGCTGCTGTTGAGCACGTTCTCCACCACATTGCGAGCAAACATTTCCTTCCGGACATCTCTCTCCAAGACAAACAGCACATAACTCAGCCTCCGTGCAAGCCAACCTCTGTGTCTGCATTATACAAAATACAAAATAGTTGAGCATGGAAAGTATAATGAGTATTAATGACAAAGAATCTACAGTAGCAGACTGTTTCACTGAAATGGTTCTTAAAGGGGACCTATTATGCCCCTTTTTACAAGATGTAACATAACTCTCAGGTGTCCCTAGAATGTATTTATGACGTTTCAGCTCAAAATACCCAACATATAATTTATTGTTCCATGCTGAAAATTTAAATTTTTTACCAGAGGCTAAAACAAGGTGTTTTCGTGCATTTGTCAAATAAGCTGCTGCTCCCCGCCTCCTTTTCCAGAAGAGCCTTTACAGCTTGTGCCTCGCATACTCTGCCAAAACTAAACATCTGTTTGATCTTGATTATCCTGTCTATCATGGTCACGCTCACGTGACACTGCAGGATATCATGAAAGTTTATTATTTGCGTTTTAAAGCCATGTAAGTTTAAAGATCTTCCGTATGAGCTATGTCCAAAACCGCTCCCTATCCCCTATATAGTGCACTATATCGGGTGTCGGCCATTTTGTAGGGATGTCCGAATTCTGAGTGAACGAGTTCATTCCCTACATTCGTTCACTACTTTTTACCCACAATCCTCTCTGATTTCGATTGTACAATTGATGTACACTCGCTGAAGCACTATTTCTCATAATCCAATGCGGAGAGGACTGACGAGCTGGAAAAGATACCGGGAGCAAGCGAGTTTGAATGAGAGATGCAGTTTACATCTTTCCTATTTCTGCATTAATGTTTATTTCATCTATTATAAATATTAAAATATATTATTTAGGCATTTGGTTTAATTTTTAACTAATTTTGCATTGTTTTTAACTTACAAGAGATGACAGAGATGTGATGATAATTTGATGGATGATTTAAAAAAATATATTTGTTAATCACCTGTATGTAGCATATTTATCCATTTAAAATTAATAGGAGCGCTCTATGACAACTCTTATTGGAGTGCAAAACGCTGCTCGGGAGCGTTTCAAGATACTAAGAATAATAAATACATAAAATGTATATGTTATATGTGGATGTGTAATATGCTTATTTTTGTTACCAGTATTTTAATAGTATTTAATGATTATAAACATATTAAGCATTACAAAACAAATTAGGCCTAATAATATCCATCAATGAAAACACATAGCTGGCACGGAGGTATGTATAATTACAATATAAAGTCATTGTGAGTGTTAGTGTTATTAATATTATTTATAACATATTAGTTTCTGCTACAGCTCCAGCTCTCTGACACACAGTGTATACGTCAGTGTCTGAATTCGTTCACTTCATTTCATTCACTCCTTTCTGATGTATTGCACTCAACTGCCATACACCATATAGGGATTAGTGAACGAGTCGGACACAGCTATGGTTTTCTGAGCTCACACATCCGAAGCGCACACACAGAAAGCCGGCTGTCAGACAGCGCAACGTACCGTGCAAGTACTAGACTATGATCTCTTTTGTGTCTTATTGCACTTAAACTGTCAAATACACACAAGGTTATGTCAAAAACACAAAGTTTACGTAAATACAGTCAGATTTATCTGTGAACGTAAACAGCTGGCAAAGAAATCGCATGTGTAGCCTATATTAGATCTGTCTGACAGCAGCGTATACCTACTGCTGTCTATGCTGTTAATTTGAATCAAACAACAAAAACATAAAATCTCTCACTGACTGAATAACTTGAATAGCATTATAAGAATTAATTTCTTACTTGAATGCTAATGATGTTAAATGCTCTAGCAAGTAGATAAACATGGAGGCCCTTACTCAGGGCGGGGTCTATGCTAATACAGCAGTGTCCGTCAACAGTCATGGGTGGGGCCTGTACAATGTGATGTCAGTTTGTACACATTCTGCAAACGGCTTGTCTGAGACACTGCTTATGATTTATGGGGATTAAAAAAAAGGAGTGTGGGTGGATTTTTATTATTATAGGGTGGTTGTGTACAAACACCACCAACACATTTATGTCCAAACACCATGTAAAAGTGAATTTTGCATAATAGGTCCCCTTTAAAGTAATATTTCACCCAAAAATTTAAATTCTGTCATTATTTACTCATTCTAATGCTGCTCCTTCTGTGGAACATGAAATAAGATGGAATCCTGAAATTCTGAAAAATCAAACAGTCGGTGAGTTGAACTCGAGAACTGGATCAGTATCATTTGTGAATGAATCATTCTTTGCAACTGTTTTTTTTTTCACTGAACCAGCTGTTCAGAAATCATCTGAATGATTCGTTCATGCATCAGACTGAGTGGGGTGACTCAATGATTCTTTTTCAGGAGTTCTCTTTAGAGCTTTTTTTGTGTAATTTTTGCAGCCATTTGGTAGAATCATTCGTTTAATATCAATAACTTCTGAAAGGCAATATCAAATTTTTGTACTGTATTACGCACTGTCCACTTCCTCCCCTGATTGGCTGTACCAGCTCAGACCACCTTTGGTCCTTGTCATGAGATCTAGGTACATAATATCCCCTGACAAACAGTGTTAATAATTTATTTCCTGACTTTCCACTCCTCACAGAAACCTCCAACCTTCCATTTGACACTTGAATGTAAACACACGGCGGGGAAACTACATCTGACCAACTATGGTATTAATGGTGTATCACAAACTAAACTATATGTTAATGAATTATACTTTACAGCAAGATGCATAACCAAGCAATGTGTAGTGAGTATTCTCATGATAAATAATGAGAGAAGTGGTCATCTATTCAGACCCATAAGGTCCATGGCCAGCAGAGGTTGATGTTTACCTTGTGTGTGTTTCATTGATGTAAATCACATTACGGAGCCCTAGTGAAGGGATGCTGGGGTTGAACAGCCTCTCCTGGAACACATAATTGTAGTAACAGTCAAACTACAGATGTTTCTTAGGAAACACATGTGTATTCGGTCAATGTGCCAAAAGCTTAAACAAACTAACCTGACTCAGGGGTGTGCATGAGTGACAGCATCTTCCAACAAATGGTCTCTTCCTGTTCAGCAGACCCTCCTTCCCTGTAGTGGTCACAGAACGAAGGACAGACGGGCTGGAGCTTCTGTCCTACATGAGAAATACAATGTTTATTCTACAAAAGATCACTGCAACAAGATAACTTGTATTAACCTAGCCTTCCAAAAACGTTCCATTTGTTGACATTAGTTATGTATTAGGTATCATGAACTAACAATTAGCAAATTTTTTACAAAATGTATTAATCTAGGTTAATGCTATTTTTTAAATCTATTATTGTTCTTTGTTAATTTAAAAAACTTGAAATGTTAAAAATAAATATTAACCTATATAAATGAAAGTTGTAAAACAGTGTCTTTCATTTTTTTTTCAACTGACATTTCTGGTTCTTCTGCTGTAATGACAAAGCTGCTTGTTTTCAAACATTATTTTATTCTACAGAGTGGTAATACACTGAAAAATAAATTAAATATTTTATATAATAATAATTTCATAATAATAATAATAATAACAATTTCAGAATTTTTTTTTTTTTTTTTTCCTCATTTATCCAGGTTTTCCAAGACTGTGGGAAATAAATAAAAATGACAGTTGTTGAGGTAAGAAAGTAAATAAATATGAAGAAAAAAAGAAAGAAAGAAAGAAAGAAACAGGGTTTTAGCTGTTTTACCTTATTTTTAAACCATTTTAATCCATCTTGGCCTCTGGAATTGTGATGTTACAAATGTGACGGTTGCGGATGGTTTCCAGGGAATTGCTAAGTGGTTGCTAGGGTGTTCTGTGTGGTTGCTTACTGGCCCAAGTCAAAATAGACCTGACCCCTTTAAGTCTCAATAATATTTTAATCCCTTGATGTAATCCCTCCTTTACTGCAAGTCTATGGGATTTTGGCTTGTTTTACTGTTAATTAGGTTATAAACTTAAATATGATCACAAGATAAAAAAACTACCCTCAACATGCCTCATTATTCATAAGTAAGTCTGTAGCACCAACAGCACAGGACAAGTACAGCCTTAATACTTAAGGTTTGGAGTTTGTTCAAATCTCTAAGCCTATATATAAACAATAACAGTGATGATTTCCTTGGTATGGCGCTAGTTTCTCCATGCTTACCTGGTCCTCACAGGGATGCTTCAAACAACCACTTCCTGTGTCAGGATTATTGGCCAGGAGAATGTTATCTGGACCCCCCAGAACCATGCGGACATCCATCACCTCTCTTCAAACCACGCATCAACAACAAAACTGTGGGAGGGAAAGAAAAACAGAGAATAAGAGGCAGTCCATTGCCGCCCTCTGTGCTGTAGGTCAAAACACGGACAAGCTCCGATTACAGCTTTTCACAATAAATCACTGCAGCCGGCAAAATATTCCACAGAATGCCAGAATGTGAAACCGCTGTGCCTTCTATTCAACACGGCACCTCCAGCTCATCTGCAGCTGAATAACAGGAATGTCAGATGATGCGTTCCACCCAATCACAGCAAACAAATAAGGTTCGCCAAACCTGCTGCTGTGGTTTCAGGTGAGCTGATCATTCTGACAAAGATTTCAGGAAGAACGGCAACGAAGCAAGCAGAGCTTGATTGCAGTTTAGTGCATCACGGCTCAGTCTACTTTCCTGATCTTCACCGCCCTGGGATAAAGAAAACTGACAGGCTTGACAACAGCTCAAAGCACACAAGACACCGTCAGCTGAACTAACCTGAACTATGTCCTGGGTGACCTGCGGCTACATAATCTTGTTTTTATCTGCTGATTTGCTGACCCATGGATGAGAGCGTCTACTCTCCGGTGTCATGTTAAAGGGCTACGGCCTCCCGTCTGTGGAAAACACACTGAAATGCAAAGAGGGGCTGATGAAGCATACAATATATTGCAGCTGTCCAGTTCAGAGGTAAACTGGAAGGGTGGTAGTCACAGCAAAACGAAACGGTGCCTGTGCTCCTGCAAAGCGATATATTTTTGGAAGACGAGCTGTGGAAAAAAAGCTTGTGCCAATTATTAAGGGTGCAGAATGTACCCTTTGAAAACCACACGAGAGATCTGCACATGTTCAGTGCATCAAGAAGAATCTCACTCCCAACAAATGGATGAGAAACTATCTGAAACTTACATATGTTTATCTTTCTAACTAACATTTGGTTGTGGCATATAAACACATGGTGAGAAGGAGGAAGTTCATAAATTGTTAAAAAAAAAATGAGACATGAAGTTTAAAGGCTCTGACATTTTTATTTTCTCTGTGGTCAAAAAGAGTTTACTGTTGTCTCTATTATAATGGGTTTTCTTATTTCCTCTGTGACTGCACTTCTTCAAAACACCCCATCAGCAGCTCACAAGGGCATTACAGAAGCCCCAGTGGGACCGTTTAGTCCATTGGTAGAATGCACTGAGGCTGTATTCTTGATGTTTTTCTACAATCTTTTGTGCGTCATGGGTAGAGAAAGGGATTAAGAAATTTCATGAAATTATTATCCAGAAATTACAACATTTTTATATGAATTTTAACAGAAATATTTGCAGTGGATGTGCTGCTTTCAAACAATTTTCCTGTGGTATGCGATTTAATGTTTTAATCACAGCGAGGATTGCTTGGCGCATGACAATTCCGCTTCCGTGTTCTAAATAGCAAAACTCATGTTCTGAGAAAATACTTTTGCACGAATAATAAGGATCATTTTTGTGAACTTGACTTTGTTTGATGGCTTTGGAACATAGACGGTAACGACAGACATAAGGATGCGCTCGTTGATCAAACAGTCCATTGGTCCGATGACAGTAGAGCCTCTGTTCACAGGTGTCATGCACAGACAGTAGCCTAATGATAACCCCTTTCGTGCTCTTCCCAATATTGTGACAAACACCATATTTAAAAGATTTTTTTGAAGGAAACTGTAAGATATGCGCGTTTCTTTTTCAAAATGTTTTGTTATTGACGCAGTGAGTCAGGCAGCTATTTACACTGCAAAAAATAAGGCCTATCTATTTCCATAAAAATATAGGCTATAAACATTCTAAAATATATGTTTACCTTTTAGGCAAATTGCATAAATTAGAATAGTGATGTCTCAAAACGCATTTATAGTCCGTATCTCTTATTCTCCTAACGTATTCCTACCCTTAACTGCGTTAAACATGGTGTCACTTGGATGGGAATATGCAAGGAAATTATATGTTATCTATACTAGGCGTTGTAAGCTCCATAAATGGCTATTTCGGGGAGGAGACGGGGTGGAGATTCATGTACGCACAATCTTCCGCTGACTGGGAATTACAAAGGGAATTTTGCGCAGGTTCTGGCGTACGCATGTGTAACACAGTTCGTAGTCACGGGAAGAAGGAGGCGGGAACCGGCGAACATTTAAACAAAATTTTAATAATAAAATAAACACAAAACAGCACGACAGCCCCTCACGGACGACTGTCGCGCACAAACAGAACCAAAACACAAAATAAAATCCAGGCCTGGTCCTCTCTCGTCCAACCAAAATCTAGTTTTTGTGCGTACGCACACATTTAGGATGAAATCTACGTAAAGTTTTATACATGAGGCCCCAGGCCTGGATTTTATGGTGTTGTTTTATGCGGCAGTCGTCTGTGAGGGGGCTGCCGCTTTTACTTTCGTTTTGTGTTTGTTCATTTGTTTATTAAAGTTTTATGTTTAAATGTTGGCCAGTTCCCGCCTCCTTCTTCCTGATCTACGAACATTTAGTGTTAAAGGGTTAGTTCACCCAAAAATGAAAATTAGGCTGTGTTTTACTCACCACCGAGGCATCCTAGGTGTATATGACTTTCTTCTTTCAGACGAATCCAGTCGGAGTTATATTAAAAATTGTCCTGGCTATTCCAAGCTCTATCATTGCAGTCAGCGGGTGTTGCAGTGCATCAGTCCAAAATAAGTGAAATAAAAAGCACCCATCCATAAAAAAAAAAAAGTGTCTCACACGGCTGGGGTGAACAAAGGCCTCCTGTAGCGAACCGATGCGTTTTTGTAAGAAAAATATCCATATTCAAAACGTAATAATCACTTGAATCTAGCTTGCGCTCACTGTTGTACACGGAAGCAGCTCCGGGCGGAT